GACTCCGCTCCGAACGAGCGAGGACGCACTCACATTTCACGTGGAGCGCGTGGACACACTCTGTCACACGCATGTCACTTACCTTTGGCACCTATCTCACAGTCAGACGAAATTCATGGATGGGTGGAGCTGCTCCACTGCCTTGACCTTATGTTCAGGCGTTACAGAAGGGGAGAGGGGAAGAGGGAGGGGAGTGAGCGAGCGTACCATGCCTGACAGCATGCCCTCCGCCCGCCATGCCGGCTGGCAAGCTGCTGGGGAGCCCGGCACGTGCCGTACCTGCCGGCCGGCCGCCGTTCGCCGGGCGTCTCCTCAGCGGCAGGCCCGCGGCCATCAGCGGTCGGGAGTGTGCCAAGATATCCGGAGCGTCCGGAGCGACAGCGGCGGGAGGTGGCAGGTGCGCGCGTGCCACTGCACGGCAGCCGACCAGCAGCGCGGCTGGCAGAGGCTCGCGGGACAGGCTGAGAGGCTGCGGGGATGGAAAGCCGGGAGGATGGGAGGCAGGGAGACTGGGGACCGGTGGCCTAGCGAGGCGAGGCTTGGAGTAGATTTTCCTGCCTGTAGAGGTCAGCCATTGGTGATAGAAAGCCCAGCGTCCGCTCTGCGGTCCCGCCGAGCGACCCGATCCGTCCGATCTCAGCGGTCGGCCGCAGCGGCGCCCCGAACGGCGACGCCGCCTGGTGACCTACCTGAGCCGGTGCGCGGCCGGGCCGTCGCCGTGCCGAGCCGTGCTGGTACGGGCGCCGGCGCAGGTGCAGCGGCTGGGGTCCGGCCGGCCGGGCCGCGCCGCCACCGGCCGGCCGCTCCCTGACGGGTCACCTAACGGGCAAATATCGTCCGATCGGGGCCCATTGAACGCTGGTGCGATCGACACCCGATAACAGACGGCTCCCGTCTCTCCCAGTCACGGCAGTGCTTGACCCAGTGGAGAGGGAGAGGTGATGAAAGATTTGTGGTGGGGTTTGCTGTGAGACCGTGATGGCTCTGAGATGTGGTGATCTGACCTGGTCTGATCTGATCTGATCTGATTTGATCAGACTTGAGTGTTGGTCCGGCGGAAGCACAACCGCCTTTAACGACCTGGCCACGATTTTGCACCAGAAGTGCTTACAGAGCAGACAATTCAATATAATTGTTCCGAATTTAAAAAGTGGACATGATCTGTCATGAAGTAGTTCTTTGGTTCTTTGAAATAAACTGAACCAGAAGTATGTATTGTGGTATGACTGTTGGATGAATCATACAGACGCGCACGAATTCACGCGGGACGTCGTCGCGCATATGATCTCAGCGGGCTATATCCCACTTAATCGGTGGCATAGCCACGTGTGGGGAAGCTGCCGCTCACTGCGTCAGTCCTTCAGGCGGTGGACCACTCTGCGGCGGATAACACACGCCAAAGTGGCGCACCTGAGAAGCCCAGTACAGTGAGCCGGTGCGCGGCACATGGTCCACCCCCCGTTGAGCGTCTGCCGTGAAGAACGTGACGCGGACGTGACGCGGGCGTGACGCGGGCGTAACCGGCATAAGCCAGGGTGGCAGACGGCCGCTGCCGTTGCTGCTGAAGAGAGCTGCAAGCTGCGAACCTCTGAATCAGGAGACGACAGCCGCCATGGCTGACGGCCACTGCCGCTGTCGACGACAGCTGCAGCGGCGGCGTCGGAGGCGACGAAGGGTCCGGAGCGGCTTGTGCCGCCCGGCGGCCGCCGACGTTGTGGGTCGTGAGCCGTGAGTTGTGAACCGTGAGTCGTGAACCGTGAGTCGCGAGCCGTGAATCGTTAATCGTGAGTCGTGGATCTTGGGTCGTGGGTCGTTAGCCATGAACAATGGGTCGCGAGTCGTGAGCCGTGAGTCACAAGTTGCGAGCCGCCATTCGTGAATCTCAAGTTGCGAGCCGTCAGCCGAGAGCCGCGAGTCGTGAGTCGTGAGCCGTAAGCTGTGAATCGCGACCCGTGACGTCGTGAGCCGTGACGTCGCGGTGGATCGCTCGGCCGATACCGCTTACGATGGCCGCCGGCCAACCCGCCCGCCCGCTAAGAATCAATCAAGGCAATCCGGTTTTGGGGGCCGGAGCGCGGCGCGCCGATGCGGTGCGCCGGGCGTGGACCGGTCCGGCGGCGGCGGCGGCGGCGGCGGCCCTGTACCGCACTGGGACGAGGTCCGCGCCGGGCCGCACGCCACCGAGGCCGCCGCTGCATGCAGACATGCACGTAGGTCGGCGCCTGCCGTTCCAATGCCGAATATGGGGACAGAGATGCACTTAATGGGTGCGGTTGATGTTGGTGGATGACGTAATCGGCCTATCTAGGCCAGGCATTGTTTCTTTTATCGTGGGTTTTTCGTTGGCATTGCCGAGCTGAACTACTAATTGATTGATCATTGACCTATGAGCTTTGCTAGTTCCTCGGCTGCCGGAGAGATATTTACGTGTGAGGTTCTGGATGCCGGCGACTTTGCTGGCGGTCTGTCCACTACTGTTGCAGTGCTGTTCAGTTGCAGTACTGTTTTGTGTCGGACGAAGAACGGCATTTGACGGGTGGAAAGAATCACAGATGCATCGCACGAACCTGTGCTAACTTTAAGCCGACAGGTGTCGCCAGCCTTGATCTGGACCGCTGCCAGGTGAAACTGACTTCGTGCGGCCGTGACCTGCGTCGATCCCTTGCGGCCGGATGGGTGGCGGACCGGCCACCCCATCTGACCCAACCGCGGGGGGGGATGCGGGGGCCAAGCCGGTCGGGCCCGCGGCGTCACGGTGCTGCAGCTGGCTGCCGGCGCTCCTCTGTGGCATGCATGAGGCCGATTAGATCAGAATCACGTCCATGTTTCACGCAGCTACGCACCATTTTGGGTGGCCTGTCGCGGGCGGAAAATCCGTCGGCAGGATATGGTTAATAGCTGCCACTCTGTGCGTTGCGGTCGTGCCCGAGCCTGTCTACATGGGAGAGATCCACCCGGTGACTGGTCGAGCCGACTTTAGAAGTCGGGCGTGGCTGTCGGCCTTACGCGTCCTTCGGTGGACGCGTTCGGTGCACGACACGCGCCAATTGCCCTCTCCCGTGGCCTCGGAAACCCCTGACGCACGGCGCGGCGTGCTGACCAGACTCGTGGCCGGCCGGCGTGGCGCACGGCCCGACCCGGCGCCCCCCTCCCCCTCCAGGGTGGAGCGGGCTGCGTGCGGCACCCCCTCGGCCCGTGACCTGGTCACGGACCTTGGCGGCGGCCCCGGGGCGGTCTGGGTCCGGGTCTAGGTCCGGGTGCGGGTCACTGCAGCCTCGCCGTCCTGCAGCCCCCCCCCCCGCGCCGCGCCGTGACTGAGGACAGCGGGCCGGATGACGTCACTGGATCATCAGGGTGTTGGTGTCCGGCACGGTCAGCGCCTGCGGTTTCGGTAGCAGCTCTTGACAGGCTTACGACTGCAGCAGGAATGTCCGACTGTGTGCTGCGAGTGATCGCCGAGCGGGTAGCTTGGCGCTGGGAACTGGGTCCTCCCGGCTTTGTGGTTTCACACAGGGTGGCAATAACACGCTCTTATCTCGGAGGAGCTATTCCAGCGCAGGATCTCCGTGATGGGGGGGGGGGGGGAAGCTAGTGACGCGCTTATGAACCACCTGGATAGTCCGCTGAGGCTTGCTGTGAGCTCGGTCGGTCGAGCTGTTGGTGCCCTGTTCTGGTTCACGCCGGCGCAAGCCGGCTGGGCAACGACCGGCCCGCCTGACCTAGCGGCGCAGCGGTGGGCCCCGCCTGACCTGGTGGCGCAGAAAGCCGGCCCGGCCTGCCTGACCTGGCGGCGCAGCGGTCGGCCCGTCTGACCTGGCGGCCGCAGTAACCCGGCCAGCCTGACCTGGCGGCGCAGCGGTCGGCCCACCTGACCTGGCGACAGAGCGAGTCGGCCCGTCTGACCTGGCGGTGGAGCGAGCCGGTCCGCCTGACCTGGTGGGCAGGGAGCCGGTCCGTCTGACCTGGCGGCGCAGCAGGCCTGGCCCGCCTGACCTGGGAGTGGAGCGAGCCGGCCAGCTGACCTGGCGGCGGACGTGAGCCGGCCAGCCTGACCTGGCGGGCGGAGCGAGCTGGCCAGCCTGACCTGGCGGCGGAGCCAGCCGGCCAGCCTGACCTGGCGGCGGAGCGAGCTGGCCCGGTCGTCATCTGCATGAGAGAGGCGGCCTCGTGACGCCGACGCGGCCGCGTGTCGGGCCCAGGCGGACGCTGTGATGGAGCGGCGCCTCCCAGCGGCCACCGGCCCATCGGTCACGGCTCCGGCGGCGCTCCTGGCGACGGTCCGGCGTCAGCCGCCGGCGGCCGCTCCCACCCCGGCCGCCACTGTAGGGCGCCTGGCTTCTGTGGCTGAGCAGACAGTGCTGGGTAGTGTCGGCGGCCGGATGCGGCGCACGTCCGGTCATTTCCAGCCAACTGCGCTGTCGAGGCGATCCACTCTTAAAATAATTTATCACGACCGCTCTGTCGGATCGTGATGGTTGAATATAGCGCATTGCGACCGCCGAGCGATGCAGTCGAGGGAACTGGCTCCCACGCTGCGATGACACGACGGGTTTGAGAAATGGCATGAAGTTGGAAAGTTGAAAAGTCACCCTTTGCAACACAGGCCCGCCAGTGGGTGAGCAGTATGAAGGGTTTACAGTTTGCAGCTGCTTTTATTGTTATGACCACTTGTATGGCATGTTCTGCCGGTGGGATGTTTTGGCAGCGAATCGTTTATGGCACAACTCATATTCCTTAGCTTAAAAGAACATTTTTTCTCTCCGAATTTTGAAAATTTTTGCGAATCTGAACGTTGATGGTATGCCACGTGTATTTTATGTAAAACGTTAGTTCAACAGCGAACCCGTGGCTAGTCCGAGAGACATAACATGCTTTGGTGAAGGTTACTCATCGCGCCAATGCAAGAGTATGGATACGCTGAGGGCAACATGCATGCAATGTACACGTTTTTCGGCCGCGGTATGAGCGCTGCGGACCTGACACTGTCGGCACTGTTGCAGCTCAAGTACAAGCGGCGCGTGTACAAGATGCTGAAGCTGGACGAGAGACAGCTGAAGGCGGCCCACAGCCGCGCCAGCCTGCGCCGCCTGCTGGAGCACGTCGCCGCCGGACACGCGGACAAGGTGGCCAAACTGTGCGCCAAGGGGCTCGACTCCAACTTCCACTGCGCAGAGACAGGAGGTAGGTGACACGGGGGGGGGGGGGGGCAATGGGACGTCTTCCTGGTGGTGACACTGCCCCCGTCTCCCAGGAGCGGCACTTTCTAAGGATATGCGCGTTGGCTTGCGGAGGTGTGGGGCTCCCGAGAGGGGGAAGAAACACGACACATTAGTTGATTCTGGAACCGGTTCCATTGTAAGGTGGTGTGCGTCTAGTCATTTCTGGCATGTCTAACGGATCACGGATTCTGGTAATAAGCATTTACTACATTACTACAGGCGCACGAACATAGCACACTGGGCCGCTGTGGATGGGAAGAGAGCTCGGACGTGCATTTTCTGCGCAAATATAGTGTGTCGCGTTGCGTGGTAAGTTTCGCTTTCAATGCCTGTCGGCTGAAGGCTTTGGACGAAAGACTTATGGTGCCTCGTATTTCTGCTCTCGGAGAACACCCGGCCGGATAAAATCGATAGGTAGTCGGCTGGCCCGACGCTGCGAGCGTGGAAGGAGGCCGGGGCTGACGGCCAGGAACGGCCGGCGCCGACTCCTCTGAGAGCATAGTCTGACTCCCCCAAGGGTGTCGATGAAGGAGTCTGGCGCTGTGGCGTGCGTCTGTGGGTCACTGTCAGACGCTGTCAGCAGGATGTCACGCTAGAATTCCTCGCTCGCTTGTGTTTTGCCTCCAACCAACCCGATTGCCGTTAATTCCTTAGGTTCGATTTCGTTTGCTTATCCGGATTGTATGCTGATCGTATTCGATCAATAATTACTTACCCTGATAAGAGGCGTGCGGCAGCTATCAGCTCTAGTTTGAAGCCCGTTGCCGGTCACGAGGCCTCCCTGCTGCAGCACTAGCGGGGCTTATCGGGAAGGCGCCGGACGCTTGCAGTCGTTATGAACACCGTCCCTCTTGTCCGGTTAAAAGCAGAGCGAGGAACGGTTCGTCGCTCTCTAGCGGTCTTATTCGCCCTATAAACGGTCCATCACCCTCCAGACGGTCACTCGATCCCTCCAGACGGTCGCTCGGTCCCTCCAGAGTACCCTTCATCCTCTCGTGGGGGCCGCTATACTGCGCTTGCGAAGGTCCCGGGACCGTTTCGGGACCCGTCCCTCACCCCCCCCCCCCTCCAAACAGTTCCTTGTCTCCCCCAAACGTCCCCGTGTGCCCGACAGACGGCCCCCTCGTCCCCCCAGATGGTCATGGTCAATCGCCCGCTCCAGCCAGCCCTTTTCCCGTCCTCTCGCCCCCCCCCCCCCCCCAGTCGGCTTCTCGCCCCCCCCCCCTCCAGACGGCCTCTCGTCCCCTCCAGCCGGCCTCTTGCCCTTCTAGACGGCCCATCACCCGCTCCGGCCGACCTCTCGTCCCCTCCAGACGGCCTCTCGCTTCCTCCAGACGGCCCGTCGCCCCCTCCGGACGGCCTCTTGTCCCTTCACGGCGGCGACCGAGCGGTGACGGGACTCATTTCGACGCCTGCCCGGCGTTATCAGTGAGCGAACGAGACGAACAATAGCGCGCCAGCTCCCCCAGGGCAAGCCGACAATCGCCGGCCCGCTGAGCAACAGGGCGCGGCGTTAGCGAGAGGGAGGGACGCCTGAGGCTTGTTTGGCGCTATGCCTGAGATCCAAACAAGGAAAGCTACATGTAGTTACGGTGGTGTTTTGTAGCATCGAATCAGCTGCGTTTTGTTGCAGTAGTGATAGCTATACGGGTGTGGTATGGGGAGAATTTGACCACTTTTGGGTCGTCACGCTTGAAGTCCGACAGCGGTCTCTTTGTCAGAAGGGAGCTTAGCACTTTATGGGCCTCGCAGCCAGAATTTAATGGCTTCCTTTCAATTTCCCCAAGTCTGTAGGCTAATCGCCTGCAGGTATAGTGCAAAATCCAAATGTCGGCGTTTGAACCGCGTTGGCGATCGGCTGAAGAGATATGTGAAAACCCATAAGATGCGCAACACAGGGGAAGAGCCGGCCATTCAAAATGGCGAATGTATTAAATTTAAGCATAAAGTCTCACTGGTTTGGAATAGGCCACGTGGCCCATTCTGTCGGCATGCAATACAATAATGGTATGGCAGCAATTCAGCAGTTTAAGCTGAATGAATGAATTCTTAAAATGTTGAGGAACAGCTGGATCAGGCTCGATAAGACCTACTCATGCAGGAATGTTGCAGCTATCAATCGGCCAGGTTAAGAGAATGCACCTTGCAACATGCGTCAAGGTTCTGAAAAGCTGATGTGATGGGTACAGCCTTCGACATAAGGCAGCCTTCGACTGCCTTAGCGTTGATAGAATGGTCCTGTATTGGCATGGACGTAGCCTGTACAATTACCAACTCCTACGAAAGTCATTTGCTGTCACCGGAGCTAACTTCCCTGAAAGACGTGCCGGCATTGGGCCACGTCCTGTAAGTTGGGCATTCAGTAGACTTGAAATTGTATAAAACCGCTAGAATTCGGAACGGAACTGGGCGTTGGCCGCCGTGATACGAAGTCGGAATCGATTCTCCTGAAAATCCCGAGAACAGTTTTGCTTGGTGTAAGCAAAAACGGCTGTAAGCTTTGGTTTTGTCGACATCATAAGCTCATAGTTCTGATGCCGACAGTTATCCATCTTCATTATGCCTGGCCGTACTGGTTAAACAACGCTATCCTACAAACATTGGTTTTATTATCAATGCTCGATATTTCGAGCTGTGCTGATGGCCATCACTTTTTGAACCGTTTTTGGGTAAGTGAACGCAATGTCGTTGACGTTACACGCTTATTTCTCACACCTGGAATGCTAGAGGTGTCAGTGTCGTTATGATGGAGATGCGGCCGTCAATAACAAGCTTCAAGGCTGACACACGCCAAATTTCAGCGACTGACGGCTTTCTTAAAACAGTCCGTCAATAAAGACGCTGGCGAGCTTCTGCATTCGTTAAACGATAATGAGTTTCGCTCTGTGATCGATGCCTTGTTTACTGAATTCCTCAGCGGTTTTTGCTCGTCAAATACCATTTTTGTTGCTGTCTAGACACAGCTCTGGTTTGCATCGCATGTTTCTGCTTGCGAGCTAGTGCCGCTTACGACCAGCGTGAGAACTTGAACGTGTTCGTGCGCAGGCCGTGCGTCGTAATTACACGAGCTGCTGTGCAAAAGTTGGCATTACGAGCACCCTGTGCGTTTGCACCTCCTGCGCTACGCACGCACGAATTTGGCTGCACTCGCATTTAGCAGGCTTCGAATTCTCTCCTTGCCACTCCTCTGTGCAAGGAAGGCAGAGCAGTTCTGTTGTTCCCGTCCAACTTCCTGATCCTGTTTTGAGAGCGCCGTTGCCACGCCACAACAACTTCACCTCGGACGAACGCATCCACGCGTGTCCTCCGCCTGACCGTGTTCAGGACGCGGCACCCGCGCCCACTCGCCCGTCGATCCTCCGCCCGCGCGGGCCCACCTGGGCTCGCTGGCGCGGTCGAACGACCAGGCGCGGGTATTTGGCGCGGCGTGGCGTGGCGCGGCGCGGCAGGGCCGGCCCGCGCTGCCGGAAGCGGCGCGCAGCCGTCATGTCGGCTGGCGGTGCGTCGAGCCGTCATGTTCGCCGGCGGTGCGCTGGGCCGACAGTTCGGCCAGCGGCTGCAGCCGGGCGGCCGGGCAGCGCCGGGCCGTTTGTTGACTCTGTCGGCCGCCATCCAGCAGGTGTCGGTGCTCGGTGCGCGCCCCGCTGCCCCCCGGGGGGAGTCAACTGATTCGAGTTCCGGCGGGCGCCGCCATGACACCTTCATCTGCTCGCTCGCTCGGTGTCGTAGAGAACGGCGACGGACTGGCATGGACGTCTACGAACACACGTGTCGGGCAATCACAGTGGCCCGGCCTGGAAGCGTTGCGCTGCACGGGCGGAGCGGACCACATGTGTGACCATTTTAATTCCACGGGGCCCGGGGGGCGTCGCCCTCGTCCCCCCCCCCGCCGACGCGACCCGTGCGCGGCTCCTGACGCCCGCCTGGCCACTGCAGAGACGCCGCTGACGCTGACGGCCAAGCTGAAGAGCCCGTCGCGCGTGATCCTGACGCTGGTGAACGGTGGCGCTATCGTCGACTACCGCACGCTGGATGGCGCCACTGCCCTGCACAAGGCCGTGCAGAGGAATAACTTCGAGGCGCTCAAGACGCTGCTCGGTGAGCGACGGGCCGCGGCCCAGGAGAGCGTCACGTGCGACTAGAGCATTCTCACAAAGACGCGCTCCAACACGTATGCTGGTAGCTTTCTTGCACCGTTTGTGTCCGTTGTGTATCGTTTTGCTCAGTGCCGGTGTGGTACTTGAGGCCCTTTGGTAAATTTCTCAGTTTGGGTGTGCTGTTTCATTTCTGTTGATCACGATTCCATAATACTCATGCAATATTATTAGTATTCTGCCCGAAGTACTGATCACTGGGTTTCTCAAAGCATTCTTCATGGAGCAGATTTTGGGTAATGGAAAGTTGACCACATACAGCGTTTTCTTTGATGATGGTCTGGCCTAAGTCTTGTGCAAGAACTTTTTGCCTCGGCACGTTTTCGTCAACATTTTGTGCGTTGGCAGACCTGGGCGCATCTCCAAACTACCAGGACGCCAAGGGGCTGACGCCGCTCTACTACTCCATCCTGCACAACGCCAACGCCATCATCACCCAGGCGCTGCTGCATGACCATGCCACCATCGGCGCCCGCGACTGTCAGGGCTGGGCCGAGGTGCATCAGGTGCGTGTCTGCGGGGCACAGCAGAGCTGGGGCCCCACGCGGGATACAGGAGGATACGGGCGCGACCGCGGGGTTTGGCCGGGTGTGAGACCTCAGGATGCAGCAAGCAGGTCTTCAGGGGAAGCAGCGAGGGCGCTGCTCCGACTAGCGAAGTGATGTCTTCTGCTGCCACTTTTGACGCCGCTGAACCCTGCTCATTGGTGTACTGATCTGCAATGAATATTGCACTGCCTTGATCATACCGAGAATGGCAGTCGTGCGGCTTCCGTTCGGATTTTGGATTGCCACATGGGATTTTGGATTGTCACATGGGATTTTGGATTGCCATATGGGGTCCTGCCGAACTGTCTCTTTTTCGGCGGCAGGGGTGTTTAGCGATCATTTGAAAAAAATGAACTTAACCCACCCGCAATGCATTTGAAGAAGAAAACAGGAAAGCTATCGGAAAATTATTAACTGACCGTCGTGCGCACACAGTGCTGTGCAGCTGATTTGTTGACCGTAAGGAGGACTGCGTGCAGACAGTGTACGCATGCTGCGTCATCCAACCCGCTGCTTTTGACGTGTGAAAACTTAGTGGTCGTGTTAATTTTTCATGAACGTATAAATGGCAAACGTGTTGCAGGAGTGGCTTATTTGGTTTCACATTCTCCATCATGTGACGCGTATGCTTATCTGTCACGCCATGCAAGCGACGGTCAGCGGCCGAGAGTTTTTCCCTTTCACACGACACGTCCTATTTTGTTAGATCTGTTCTTTTCCTTGTGAGCCTTTTCATCGACGGTCGGTGATGTAGTTTGAATCGCGTCCCAAATGAAATCTTTGCTCAGCTGACTAGACCTCGATGGTTTGGAAGTTTTGTCACAGCTCAAATTTCATTAGGATCCGCAGAATGGTCCGCGAGCCACCTCGTAAAGCTGGAGGGGCTTTCACCAATCTCCGCTGCCTCCGCCGGTGAAGATTTAAGTCCTTCCATGCTATCTTCACATTCCCGGCACGTACTCCAACGCAGTTTGCCTTGCGCCCACCAGGCGGCGCGCCGGTCAATGACTCAGCACCTGGAACACCTGCTCTTCTACGGCGCCGACATGAACGCGCAGAACGCCTCGGGCAACACGCCTCTGCACGTGTGCGCCATCAACGGCGAGGAGGCGTGCGCGCGCGTGCTGCTCTTCCGCGGCGCCGACCGAGACGCGCTCAACTTTGCCAACCAGACGCCGTACCAGGTGGCCGTCATCGCCGGCAACCTGGAGCTGGCCGAGGTCATCCAGCGACACAGTCCTGACGACGTCGGTGAGTGCGGCACTGTTTCGCGCCTCTGACCGCGCCCCCGAGCCCGGCTCGGCGTGCTGTAACAGCGCGTGCAGCGTTCCCGGCAATGCCCCACGTGGACGATGCCCATTATTGTGGCGGTGCTGTGCTGTAGTGCTGTGCTGCGCTGTGTTTTGCTGCTGTGCTGCGGTGCTGCGCTGTGTGCCTGATCGCGTCTCCCGTGCCCAGTGCCGTTCAAGGAGGCGCCCAAGTACAACCCGCGACGCCGGTCCGGCATCGTGCTGCCGCGCACCCACTCGGAGTCGCGCCTGAGCTCGCCGCTCTCGAAGCCGCCGTCGCCGTCGCCGTCCAACCGCTCGCTGCCTCCCTTCTCGTCGGCGTCCAGCCTGAGCGAGGCCAGCACGGGCAGCAGCGGCACCTGCACCCAGCCGACCAGCGAGGCCGAGCCCACGCTGCTGCACGGTGGGTGCTGATGGTCGCACCCTGCGGGTAGTGGGTGCTTCTGACCCAACCCCGCTGAGCGGTGCTTACGTCGGCCCGATTCTGCTATATGGTGTGCACGATTAATCTGATTGTGTTGTATTGTGGGTATCGCTGACGTCTCTGTTCTGTACGGTGGGGTCATGGCCATACAGTTTTGCACATGGGCGTTCACACGCGCGTATGCATGTGAATGCATCAAACACACATGCTTCAGGTGTACATCAGAGGACCCAGCTACATCAACATGTCACATTCATGCGACCGGTACTACCAAACAGGACTGCACACATTTCTACCAGAAGTCCCTTGTCTTATGGGCACGCGATTTCGATGATCAGTGCTTTTCATGACCTAGATTTCCCGCATTTGAATTTCGACTCGTGACATCGGGGCAACCCAGCAGCCTTTTGTAAACGGATGTCCGTGGTCTTCAAATTCCGACACTGTCTCCAGCTGAACGGTCCACTTTGCTAAGCCTCCGTTAACGAAGTCGCAACACACCGATCGTGGCCCTCTGTCGGCGGTGGCGTGCCTTGGCAACATCCCTCTTTACATCACACTGGCGGCCATGCCAAGGACGAACCCGTGCCGCTGACAGACGAGCAGCAGGTCCCGATCCGTGTGAAAAATGGTCGCACGTCCTCACGGTATGTGAACAGAGATGTTTGTTTCCCTTTGCTTGGGACTTGGAAAAAAACTGAGGATGTGCGTTATCACAAGTTTATTCGGCGATCGCTCCGCTCCGTAGAACCGTGCTCAGAACATCCTCATATGATGTTAGCCACACTGGCAGTCAGTCGGAGCGCCAGGACCCCACCTCATGCCGCCGCGCCCGCTGAAGCTCCGCTCCGCCAACAGGCAAGGACATGTTCGACGTGGTGTCGGAGAGCTCTGGCGTCGGCACCAGCAACGGCTCGGGCTCGGGCGAGAGCTGCGACACCAACCCGGAGACGGGCATCCTGCTGCCGGGCGCCGGCACCACCGTGGTCTGCATGGAGGCCTACAGCAGCAGCCTGCCCGGCCACCTCAGCATCATGCAGGGCGACATCATTGAGGGTAGGTGGTGTGACGTCATCGACTCACGGCGCGGCCGACGGCGTGACGTCCGTCGGCGAGCTCAGACGAGTTCATGACGGATTTGGTTCATTTTATGTGCGGTAAACTTCAGCATATGATCATGCGAAGCATAAGTCTTTCTGATTAATTAGATGTGATCGAAGGAGACGGCCTTGCCGTGCCAGCCTTGCAGTTGACATCAGCGGATTAGACTACGATTCCGACAGCACCATTTGTAACTTCCCGACGTCGCATGACTGTGGGTGTCGACGACGGGACAGGTGTGTGCGCCGCGGCGGCGGCACGGGGAGACGCTGACCCGCGTCGTGTGCCGCCTGCAGTGTCGGCCTCCACGGACAACGGCCTGGTGGAGGGCTGCCTGGCCGGCCAGCTGGGCCTGTTCCCAGCGCGCTGCGTGCAGGAGGTGCGCCTGCGAAAGGCGGCGCCGGCCGGCATGCCGCCGCCGCCGCCGCCGGCGCCGCCGGCCGAGTCGCCGTACGGCCGGCTGGAGCTGAGCACGCCCTACGGCACGACGCCGCGCCACCGGCGGTCGCCGCTGCAGCCGCGCACCGTCGTGCTGCACCGCAGCGCCAAGGGCTTCGGGTTCGTGCTGCGCGGCGCCAAGTCGAGCTCGCCGCTGATGGAGCTGCGCCCCAGCGAGCGCTGCCCGGCGCTGCAGTACCTGGACGACGTGGACCCGGGCGGCGTGGCCGAGCGCGCTGGCCTCCACAAGTGGGACTTCATTCTGGCTGTGAGTGGCGGCCCGGCGAGGACGGAAGAGAGCGCTTCAGGGGGCGCACTCGGTGCTCCGGAGTGGGTGCGGTTTCTGGAGGCGTAGGTCGATGATTTATAGATCATTATGCACACAGAGCGGATCTGATTCAGTGGGTGTAGTTCAACCGCTTCGCTCTGACTTACATGCATTAAATGATGGCATGACGGACACGGTAACTGCCGAATATCGCGTATGTTTCTCACCACTTTCCTTCCTTTCTGCAACCTGGTGTCCATCCCGCCTTCCTGAACTGACCTTACCTGGTTTACCAGCACGTGAGAACTCTGATCGCCAGCCTAACATGACCTTACAGCCCTCTCCTCTTCACATGTGCCGTAAACTTGGCTGATCTTATGCAATCTGATCTTACCACTCCCTGGTGTTGGCACTGGCTGTCACTAACCACCTAACTGGTTTAACCCGACCTGACCTGATATAACCTGTCTGCTTTGTCATGTTTTTCCAACCGTCAACCCCGAAATAAATGTTCACTTAAGTCGCAGGCCTGATCTGACCTGTTTTGACCCGACCTAACCTGACCTGAGCGGTTGACATACCTGAGTTAAACTGACCTGATTTGACCTGACCCTGCCCTTCGCAGATAAACGGCGTGGATGTGAGCCAGGCGTCACACGAGCTGGTGGTGGAGCAGATCCGGCGGGCCGGCGACCTGGTGGCGATGACTGTCGTCTCGCTGCCGGAGTCGGGGCAGTCGGTGGGCACAACGCGCTCAGTCTCCACGCTGCCGCGCAAGCTGTCGGCCTCGTCCGTCGGCGGCCGGCCGCCCATCCCGCCGCTGCCGCCCAAGCGCGACCCCAAGACCACGCTGAGCGTGGGGCGCGCGCGCGCTCGCTCCATGTTCAACAGTTACCCGGAGATCGGTCAGTAGCGGCGGACATGGGCGAGGCGGGGGCGGGGCGAGAATGCGGAGGGTACATATTACGGGTGCAGGTGCGGCAGCTGATATGTGGTGCGTCGCTGGTTACCGTTGGAGTGAGGGCTGGTCGGTGGCATGTCTTAAGCCGCATTAACAGCGGGAATACGGGGGGGGGGGGGAGTGTGAAGCCCCTTGATCGCGGCGACATGCTCATCCGACGCCATGGGTGCCACGTCAGACAAGTTTCTCTTGAGGCCAAACGGACCTCGAACCGGTTTTAAGGTCATGTGTGGCTCCCATTCCCCGGGTGGTCGCGGTCATATCTGCGCTTTTATCGGACAAACCCGACACTCATCACCAGCAGCTGTGCTGCAATGCCGTAGAAGCGCGGTCAAAGGCAAGTGCCGGCACCGCGCCGCGCCTGGCGGTCGCTTTAACGTCTCGGTAAGCCCGACTGACTGGGCACGCCCTGAGAGAAATCTCCCAGACCGCAGGTTCTTAGGAGCGGAGACGACGAGTGGAGGCCGTGCTGTGCGGTGCTCTGCCAGTGACAGCGGCGCGTTGGTCTGTGCAGGTCGCAGGCTGTGCGGCGGTGGCTTGGTCGTTGTGTGTCGCCAGTTTGCCTGTTATTAACGAGTGGCGCATCGCCGCGCTCCGCTGGGGTCCTGACGCCGGTGCGTGTCGGTCTCGAGGCACTGCGCCGGATGGCGAACCGGGACTCGAGGGAGCTCGCCGCTAACCGTCGGTTCGTCCCGCAGAAGCGCTCGACCGCGCCATCCACGACTACGACTCGGAAGGGCGCAGCACCAACAGCAGCTCGGTCGACTCGGAGACGTACAAGGTGCCGAACGTGAAGGTGGCCTCGATCCGCACGCGGCCGACCAGCTCCCGCCTGAGCTCGCGCGAGCTGGAGGAGATGTTCGCGCGCCAGGGCTCGGCGCCGCGCTACCCGCCCACCGCCGGACAGGGCGGGCCGCGCGTCTACGCCAGCGTAGCGGAGATGAAGCGGCACAAGGTGAGAGCCGGGAACGGCGGGCGAGCGGACGCTGCGCTCGGCCGTCCGAAAACAGCCGCATTTGCGGCGATAATTTTTTCTTCGAATTTCGTTCCCCAATGGTTGCGTTGTGTTTGCATTTCTTCAGTACAGCGTGAAATCAGCACAGCCTGCGCTCTGGCATCGTGAGGAAAAAACGCGTCAGTTGGTTCACAGCGCGACAAGCTGGCTTTTTCCTGGCAAGGGGAGCGTGGACTTGGCTCACTTGTTCCGTTGTTCAGACACTAAACCCGACGTAGGCCATTCGTGAGCAAGCTGCCGGCTTACCCATTCGGACCGTTGTGTAACACACGGTGTGTCATTTGCAGTGCTTGAGCGAACTGTTTCTAATCGCAGGGCAAGAAGCCGAAGGGCGCCCCTCTGGAGTCGGTTTACGTCGGCGACACGGGCAGCCTGCGCAAGGAGTTCCACAGCACCCCGGACCTACAGAACGCGGCCACCTGGCTCGAGCAGCGCCGCAGTCACTCGCAGGAGGACCTGCACGCCTTGCAGCACGGCCCGGGCGCCCGGCTCGGGCCGCACGCCGCCTGGTCCAGCACCGAGCACCTGTACAGCCGCGCGCGCCGCACCAGCGCCGAGACTGGCAGCGAGTCGGGCGAGGGGCGCGGCGGCGTGCGCCGGCCGCGCCACCTGAAGGCGCGTGGCCGCGCCGGCGCGCCGCTCGTGCCGCTGGTGGCCGACGGCGAGTACGCTGTGCCGCCGCCGCTGGGCGACGGAGAGTCGCGGCGCGTGCCCTCCACCTTCCGACCGTCGGCTGACGCCAAGCTGTACGCCTCGCCCGTCGAGCTCAAGTCGCTGGCGTACCACTGACGGCCAGGCGTCGTCGACGCTGCGCCGGCGGCTGCAGGCGCGCTCGCGCAGCGTGCCGCCGGCGGCGCGCGGCGAGCAGCTACCGTCCGAGCCGGCCACGCCCACGCCGCCCTCCGACGAGACGACGCCGACCAACGCGGCGCCGCCGACCGCCGCCGACCTGGCCGAGCTGTACGCGCGGCCGCACCGCCGGCCGCCGGCCGATGACGACCTGCCACCACCGCCGCCACCGTTCGAGCTCAAGCCGCCGCCGTCGCCGCGCTCTCGGCGGCCCGCGGCCCCCGCGGCAACCACACCCGTCGCTCCCACCGCCGCCGCCGCCGCCGCCGCAGCGGCAGCAGCAGCAGCAGCAGCAGCAGCTGCCTCCGCCTCCGCCTCCGCATCCGCCGCCGCAGTGTCTCCTACCGCCGCGGCGGCGCCCCTGGGCGGCTCCAGCCTGCAGTCGATGCTGGCGGAGAAGGTGGCCGCGCGGCGGCGGCGGCTCAGTGTGGGCGACGCGGGCAGCGTGGCGACTCACGACCCGTCGCCGGCCGACGCGGAGGATCGCGTCGAGCAGGTGACGCGGATACAGGTGGGCAAGAAGTCGCAGGCGTCCGGCATTCCCAGTCCAAGCAAGGGGCCCTCGCCTGGCATGACCAAGTCCCACACGATCGGCAGTTTGAGCGGGGATGATCTGCGCGTGGCTCGGTCCAAGCTGCGCAGCGCCAAGCCGCCGGCGGCAGCGACGAGTTATCCGCCCGAGGAGGCGGACAACTCGTCATCGGGCGTCAGCTCGGATCAGGATCAGGCGCAGCCCAAGTACGTGACGTTTATCCCGACCGAGGGCGCGCCCTACACGCGGCGCCAAGACGAGAGCGAGGAGTCGGAGAGCTCGGACGACACGAGCGACCGCACCTGGATCCTCAGCTCGGAGCGGGCGCGCCAGGCGGGTCAGCTGGCGCGCCCGGCCGGCGCCGCCGAGCCGCGCAAGTCGAGCAGCATCCCGTGCCTGTCGGGCCGCGGCCGCACGCCGCCGGCCGCCGCGCCGCCGTCCAGCCTCAGCGCCAAGAGCGGCGCCGCCAAGCCCGTGTCGATCACGGTGCCGGGCGGCCGGCCGGCGCGCGACGGCCGCCACCTGCGCTTCGGCGGCACCACGACCGTAGTGATCACGAGCGGCAGCTCGCCCGAGCCGGAGCCGCTCGCCGAGCAGAGCATCGAGCGCAGCCTGCAGCAGATCGAGCAGCACGCCAGCCAACTGGGCGGCGGCAGCAGCAACGCGGCGCCGGTCGTGCCGCCGCCTCCCGGCTTCGACGGCGGCGGTCTGCTGCTGGCACCGCCGCCCGAGTTCAGCGACCCGGCGGCCGATGCCGGGGCCCGGCCGCCGGCGCCGCGGCCGCCGCCGAAGCCGGTCGCCGCCGCCGACGCCGGCTCGCGCCTCGTCAAGCCGAAGACACTGGGCCTGCGCGGACGGTCGCCGTCCTCGCCCGGCACCACCTCGCCCACCGGCGTGGCGTCACCGGCCGGTATGACGTCACCGACCGGTATGACATCACCGGCCGGCGCGACGGCACCGCGCAGCTCGGGCATTCCGCGCAGCGTGGCCGCCACCGCCGGCGGGCGGCGGACGTCGCCGGCGGGCAGCCCGAGCAAGATCCCGGGCGCGGTGCGGGCGCGCCCCACCAGCCTCCCCCAGCCGGCGGCACCGGCGCACGTCAAGAACAGGTTCCGCGGCATGGCCGTGGCCCAGTGGACGGTGGAGGACACGTGCGACTGGCTGGAGAGCCTGTTCATGTCCGAGTACAAGGCGCGCTTCGCGGAGGCGGCCGTCGACGGGCCGCAGTTGCTGCAGCTAGACGGGCCGGGCTTCGCCGAGCTTGGCGTCAAACGCATGGGCCATCGGATGAACATTGAGAAGTCGCTGAAGCGCTTGTCGGTGCAGGCGAGGAGTCCGGCGCGGTAGGGGTTCCCACGCGTTCCCAACCGGCCGATGTCCCCTGTCCGCGGCTGATAGTTCGCCCCGCCGGCCCGTGGATCGCACATGGGCCGGCTGTAGGGGGCGCTCCCGGCTGTCATCGACGCGTCGCCGGACTGCCAACGCTCACGCCCCGTCCAGCGGCGGGATTTGGGCGCCTCTGCGCCTCCGCGCCGTCCCTGGGTTTCGCTCACGCGTACCGTCCGGTGCGCCGGCCGGGGCGCTGCACGGCCGCGTGCCGCGCCGTGCCGCGCCGTGCCGCCGCCGGAGCCGTCCCCAGCGCACGCGCCGGCCGTAGCGCGGTGTGCGCGTGCTCTGTTGCGCGCGCGTCGGCCGTTGTCCGATTTTGGGCCGCTCACTGCGTGGCTGGCGTTACGCGGCTTTCAGTGAACATTTGGGAGACGTTGGCGGCGGGCGTCAAGTGCAACGGACGGCTGGAGTTGTTGCGAGTTGTTTGGCGTACTGGCACGGAGCAGCTTGCCTGTGTAAGTGGCTGACTGGATGTTGAGAATGTAACGTGCTGAACTGTCCGTTGGTATTATGGTTTCTTGTAAAGCAGAGGAGCAGCTTTAATCGTGCCAAGATTGCTGAGCTAAATCAACCGAACCATCTTCGGCATACATGTACAAGTATATTATCGATTTAAGGGATCCAGAGGTAATTTATGCATTAGATTCATCACTTATGCTTGTGTGAAACGTAGGCATCTGCGCTAGGGCTAAACCGTGTGAAGGAAGAGACTTGAATCGTCCCGCGCATGCCAGTGCTTCCCAGCCGTTTGTGTTATTAAATTTATCGCTGCGTCTGGGTGTAGATGAGGTGGGAAGGCGGTGTCCATGTCGCGGGTGACGCTGTGCCAATATTGTCAGCCATTGTGATTTCGACCGTGGAACTGCACGCTGGAATCCGGTGGACATCTTTGTATGAATTTATTTTGTAAATAACCATCATTCGATTAAAGACATCTAGATCAATACTGCGTGTGTATTTTTGGACGTTGTCTCGGGGAGTGACGTCGAGAGTCGGCTATCTCAGTTGTCGCCTAGACAGTTGGCCAGGTGTTGAACTCATAATGTGGGCGTGATAGTTGAGACGCCGACGAATACGCCGACAAAGCCAGCACACGAGTATTGATTTAGGTCCATGCGCATACCATTGTGTGAGTTAGCTGCAGTACAGACGCGCGTATTCTCGATGTTTCGGTTCACTCAGGACTTACTGAATTTGCACCCAGCTGACCTTCAACCTGCGACGTTTGGAGTTAGGTCAACGCTTTCAACGCCGCGTGTAGTGACGACTTAATGCCGTCTTGCACGCACACTAGATACACATCGCCGGCTTCACGTGCACGCAACGGGGCGTAGCTCGTATTTGCGTAGCGCTGCGACTCGGAACGCGACCCGAACATTACGCGGTCACGCCACGGCAGCCTGGATTGAAGCCCCGCGCCACTCCGCCTGGGCACACCCGGCCCGCCCGCCTTCCCTCCCTCTGACCGTCTATAGCCTGCTTCTGACTGGTGAATCAACCCGGCAAAGAGGGGGGGGGGGATGGAGGTGGCCTGAAGGAAGGGGAATGGTGTAGAAGCCCGGGGTGAGGTTTTGCAAAATCGTTTTGGTGTGCAGAGGTGTGAGCCAGGTGAAAACGTCTAATGCTATCCCACCTTCACGCAAAGAGTGTTCCATTCACAGATTTAACCCGCGGTTTTAGGACAAAAGCTGATGTAGAAAAAATGCGCATACATCAAGCACGCACGCAGTTGTTCGTAAGCAATTGCAAGTAAGCAAAGGCTTGTAACTGATAATGTTCGCTTGCTCTCAGATATCACTGAAAGTTTATCTACGGAACCGAATTCCAAGGACGCCACCATCAGAAGCGAGCGCAGGAGAACACAGAGACATGTGATTCTCGTAGGCCACGAGGGTCACAAGGGTCCTAAAAGGTCATTTGACCTATCGCGGGTGACGATTAAGGGCTCGATTGGAGAGTCAAAGGGCAGACCGGCGGTCATATGAAGGAACCTCAGCCCGCAGACCGGGCTCTTTAGCGTTAGTGAAGGGGCCCCTTGCACCGGTTGGGGGACCCTGGGACAGTAAGGGTCTCGATATCAGTATGTTGACTGAGGCCACCAATACCGAAGGTCAGTCAGTTCCGAGGTCAGTTCCGCGCTGGTCAGAGCCCGAGCCCGTTTCTCAAACAGGGGCAAAGCCAGGGCCTGCAAATGCCAATCAAAATGCCTCCCACATTGGTCGTGGCCCCCAGAACAGTGACGAGCACGCCGTGCTGGTCAGGGGCCCACAGTGCATACCATAGGGCCCTGTGTCGACAACAGGCCCCAAGTCGACCATGCGTTGGTCGGGACCCCTCCTGACAATCAAATGAGACATGAGAAATGCTAGTTCAAGGGCTCACATTTACGACGAGACAGCGTTAAGCCCCCGTGTCAGTCAGAGGCCCCGGTTCCGAACGAGAAGAACTCCACACAGTTTCAACTGGAGACCGATAAACTGCCTTGGCACCATGACGCCAATTACTGAACTTCTTGTACCGGTAAAACGTTCTTTCAATTGAGATTCCTTGCGCCGACCTGGTGGCGGATGCCCGGGTCAGAGGGCCTGTCGCATTAGGAAGAGGGCCGGCGTATGATGTAACCTTCTGAGGACCTCCACACCAGGCGTTCGCTCACATCAGACCCATTTTGATTGCTAAGCTGCTTTGCATTCCTACATCGGTCACTAGCTAAAATAATTTAAAAAATGCATCCTTATAATTTTTCTGGCGTTACACCAGGCTACCACTCATCCTGACGTTCTTCACATTGACATACAAAACCTAACAGCTTGCGCTTTTAGCCGCTTTAACCCTCGCCTTGATACGAGGGAGGGGGGTGATACGGCCTTCATTAAGCTTTTTTGAAGATACCCCTGGCATGTGGAGCAACGTGCACACCCAAATTTTCAGGAGTCTATGAGGCATCCACTGCGGGTCTTTTGACACCAACAACGTGTTCCTAGCTTTTATGGTTCTGGAGCAGCGGCGGTTTTTTTTAGGAAAACTGCACGGCGAGACCCTGTTTTCACAACTCTGGAAACACTGGGGTCGGGGTCGTATCGTATCCTATCAGTTCGCGTGATGAAAAAAGGCGAATCAGGGTGAAGGTTAAAAAAAGATACCTGAGCACACTGATGACATTCCAAGACCGGTCATTTAAACTTGAATTTTAACTTTTGCATTTATTTAACATTTCAAGCAATCAATAGAGAAAATAAACTGGCCATTTTCAGACGAGTTCACCAAAGGTGACATATACCTGTCCAACTGCGCATTCTTGCAATCGCCACTGAAATAATGCAATATATGTGCATTGTATAATGGTCTGTATGGTATTTGGACATTTGGCACATGGGTTTCTGTATGGGCCATTCTCTCACATACCGCACCGTTTCAATACATTACAAATGCGACGTTACATAATTCGCTTTTTAGCCTGCCTGTACCTCCTGAGTGCATCACTACAAATATTTTGAAAGTTCTGTATGTCAAAAGAGAATTAGTTCTCCGATGGAACGCTTGGGCCCCTGCTGTGAAAATTCTGAGATCTCGCGGTGTGGCATATATAAACCTCCGTATAAAGTTCGAAAGAAGTCCACCGCATGCAAATAGGTTGAACAAGTTAGTGATGCACGAGTCTGATTTGACCTTGCTCAGTTAGTATACGAAAACTACGATGACAAAACAAGTGAAATGGTAAATACTGATATAACTAAACTGCTTACGACTGATACCATTGCATGTATTGTTAGCATTACAACTTTTCACTATCTTGACAACAGTGGCATGCACGCCTGCGGCAAACGCATTTCAAGATAACAGCTTTTTTGCATCTCAACATCCCTTAGCACGGCATGGGATCAGGGATGGGTATGCAGCGACCCGGACGACAAAATACCTATCTCGTCGACGTAATACATGACGTCATGCCCCATAGATTCTGCGCCTTTTGGTGTTCGCAGCAATCCGGACGAGAGGGATTTGAAGTGATGTCGCGTAGAGTCTTTACCGGGCGCGCGGAATATTTTTTGGTTATTTGAAATGTATTTGCAGCGCACCAAGAATATACTATTCTACATGACGTCACGAACAATCTTTGCCGGACGTGTTCGTAGTGCTACGCATTTTTTTATTTAAAACTTTGTAACTGTTGATAATATCTGCGCATGCAAAGACACAATACTTTGATTTGTAGGTACTATGAGCGTTTCAAAGAATGAACAAGTGCCATTTATTCTCTTCGCGACGACTTAAAGAATTTGTATCACTCATGGTCAGTCCCTAGGCACGTAAATAATTTTTTATGGTTGAATCCGTTGAGCCACCTCTGCCTCACTCTGATCGAATTGCAGAACAGGATTCATGCCCAGCGTGCCCAGCAAAAATTCTACGTGATGTCACATGGAATCTTTGTCAGTCCGGGTCAGTGCGAATACACCCTTGATCGAAGTGGGATAGAAATGGCGCAACACGCTCAATTCTAAACAAGCCAATTTGCGCGCCCGGGATTAGTGACTTGGAAAGAAAAGATGCGATATGCGTAACACACAGCATAATTTGCAGCTTGCATACTTAGCACCACGTGTACTACACGCGTATGCAAATGCCGGTGTCTGGTATGCGCAAGTTATTGTCACGGAAGTTACGAATATGTTAACAGAAAATGCGTAACGCTGCGAACACGTCCAGCAAAGATTCTACGTGACGTCATGTACTACAGAACATTCTTGGTGCGCAGCAAAAGCACCTAGATGGAGAAGAGTTGTTATACAACAGACTGGTGAAATATTTCTACATGAGATAATACCAGATGAATGCATTCGTCAACCCCGATTTCTGACACATAGTGTAGCTGATAAAACCTTTGATAGTGCGTGCTGGAACTGGCAAACTGATCACCGCCCACGCACAAGCGGCCAGTGGCAGAAACAAAACTAAAAGACTAACTTCTATGTGATTCTTACGAAAGCACACTCGCGAACAAAACGTACCGATTTTTTCGCCCTGGTCCGCAATCTTCCAGATATCGACATTTCTTTGACATAATTTTTTCTCTTCGCGGGAAAGACTTTTTCAACCTGAATGCCAATGAACTGGTTAAACAGCCAGCCTAAGCGCTATATGCACATGCCGATAGCTTTCCCCGCCATGAGAGAATGAATTGTCACTTATGGGGCGCCTTTCCCACTAATGCAGTGTTCTCCTTTTGCCTGTGTGTCATTATCGACCGCGCCAGGCAAAGGCCAAGCCGCAATACTGCAAACGTCGTCACATGAGTACTGCGGCAGCCATGACACTCAATGGAGCGAAATAAATGGGGTCGTCGTCCCAGTTACCCCGAATGCAAATACCTGTATGCTTGGGCGAATTTTGTAATGACCGTGGCTGTAGCGATCCCACCAACCTTTGCGTTTAACATAGGCGTGATGGATTAAGTGGCGCTGAGCTGGAAGAGTTGGTATCATAGACATCCTGTTCCTCAATAAGCCTTCAGACAATCGTATCTCCATGCTTTTACTCACTTCTACCCCCATGTCGCGTCCCGCGGCGCCCCGGACCAGCACACGCCGTGCCTCACCTGTTACGCCGCCCTTCCGCCCATCCGCGCGTCACGTGACCGGCCGGCGCGGCCCGCCGCGGTCATCGAGCGCGCCTATAGCAACGACGTGTTTACGCTCGGTCGCGCGACATTACCAATTCATGGCCGGGCATTCGCGCGAGGCCGAGCGGGGCGAGCGGTCGCCTCGTGCGTCAGTGGCCATTCCGGCAGCGCCGCAGGGCAACCGCGACCGTCGCCGCGAGCGCCTGACCCGCGGGCCGGCGGGGAGGGGCCGGAGAGTCTGCCGCGGTGGTGGGCTGCCCAGCGGCAGGTGCGCAGCAGCGGCCAGCCGGCCCGAACGAGGCCGCCTCCCGCACAGGCGGCCGCTCACGCCATTCCCGCTGCCGGCACGAACGGACGTCGACGGCGGCTGGCAGGTGTCCCTCCGCGCGGCCTCATCATCGTCGATATTTGCCGCCGGCGGATTGATCAAACAAGCCAGCCCACTTGCAGGTGCCGGGAGGAGGCGCGTGTTGCGCGGCGGACGACCGTGACCACGCCTGATTGGCCGCCAGCTCACCGGGCCGACGCCGGCGTGACCCTGACATGGCCGGCGGGCCGGGCCGCGCACCCAGTGGAGGCGGGGACGGCGGCGGCCGCGTGCGGGCTCAGAAGCGACGCTCGCACGACGACGCTAAGGCGGCAGCCAAGCCCCGCTCCCAGCGCAGCTCGGCGGCCAGCCAGCAGCAGCCCGTGCGTGAGCTGTCCGCTATCCGGGAGGGGACCGACTCTGCGGCGGCGGACGACGGTCACGCCTCGCCGACCCAGGCGAGCCAGGGCAGCGAAGCGCAGTCGCCCAGGGACTCCGGCAACCACAGCCTGACGGGCGAAGAGGCGGTCGACGTGGGCGAACTACGGAAGGAGAACTTCGACGAGCCATCAACGGAGGGCTCAGACAAAATAGCAGACGAGGAGCCAGGCGAGCTGCGAACCGAGTCCGTCGAAGAATTACGGAACGACGTCTCGGAGCAGCTGGCGTCATCGACGACAGCAGACGCAGACGCAGTAAGCGTCGCCGACGACTCGGGCCAGCAGACGGTGCAGTCCAAAGCCGCGCCAGACCAGGAGGAGCCGGCCCCCGACGACACAGAGCGGTCAGGCGCCATGTCCGGTGACATGGAAGTGCTGCGTCCGTCGGAGGAGCTGGCGCTGGACGGCAGGGCGGCTGGTGATGGCGAGGCACGTGCCGTCTCCCTGGAACGCGTCCTGATAGAGCAGTACCACGGCGATCCCGAGCTGGACAAGAACAACGACGTGTATCAGGACCAGGTTGAAGAGCAAACACTGTCCAACGGCACGGACCGACAACACGTCGAGAAGAAGGTTGCTGACGAAAGCGCGGCAAAGCCGGAGTCAAAACCCGCGCGCACGGATTCGCATACAAGCCGCAGGAAGGAACCAACCCGAGACGGTGACAGAAAGTCTCCTCCGAAGGCGAAGGAAAACGGGACCCACAAAGAACATAATGCTCCGCCCCGGGCCGTGCAGAACGGGACAGCGCGTGCTGAGTCCAGAAAGACGGCGGAAAGGAGCGAGGCCAAGTCGACCCGGAAGCCCACCAAAATCCCCCGATCGAGACCAATTGCCCGCAGCCAGGAGGACCTGCGGGCTGCTCGGGAGGAGGGAGCGGGCGAGCACGTGGCTGCGCTGCACGCCGCCAACGAGGACAGCGCACTTCAGAAGAGCACATCACTCGTCAGCATTCCGAGAAACCCTTCAGCTCAGGTGAGCTCATGTCGCGCTTTCCCAGAAACCCACCAGCCATCTTTAATAACGACATTTTGTCCCAGTGCTCCTCTGCAGTTCGTCTTGTTCATCGTTTCCTGGAAATTTACCCCGGTGCTCCTCACCTCCGAGGTAAACGCTTTTTATGTCAAATACTTTTCATGAACGGTCTTCTATTCATAGCACATGCCAAGCGGAGCTTGTCGCCTGCTCTCTGGCCCTCCCATCCAAAGACATTCGACCCATTTCGTGATATAAGTTCCTTATAGCCTTACCAGACAGGGCTGCGAGGGGGTTTCCGTACCGCACAGCACTTCAGCACGGCCGCTTAGGTCAGATTTGCCCCGGTTACAAGCAGATCTTTCCTGGTAAGTCGGTCAAAACGCAAACACGGCCGCACTGCCGGATTGATCACGTTTGGCCAATGTCAGCACATCTTTCTGTCGATAGCTGAGCGACAGGACGCGCCCATCCAGAGATCGTAAACGGCACAACCGTGTTGCGAGTCGGACACTCTTGCACTTCGCCGCGGAACCTGCACCACACCGTGCATATCAATGTTTGCGACGCGTCACTGTTCCTGCTTGCAGATTAGAGTTGCGTGCACAGATTAAACACGTTGAAGCGGTCCAGAGCCCGTTACGGATTCAAGCAATGCACTGTGATCTAGACATATTTAACTTATCTAATCTTTACGCAGCACAAGCCGAAGTCCGCACGAATTCCGTTAAGTAAGTGCTACTCAAGTTGCGCAAGTACCATCCTCTGGGTCGACAACTTCGCCCGCTGGCGCCCTCAGCGAAGAATGCCCACTTGGGCTGAGCTGGGTGATGTTGGTTCGTGTATCTCTCATCTGAGATGCACGCAGCGGCCCGAATCTTGCATTTACCGATGTAGAAATCCACGATGTAGCTATCCTCTGTGTTTGCTAACCGTGCATTTCCCGAGCCCCTATCATATGGCACTTCTTCTTCGCCGTCGTGGACGGAAAATCCAGCAGAAATTTATTTTTCAAAAACAAAAGGAATATGTGTTAAGCTTTCTTCGTCTTGAAACGATAGTTGTTGAAACGTTGGTGGCTGATTAGCAAGTGCCAAAGTTTTTCATATAAAACATTTTGCGCCATTTTGTGCATTGTTTTTGCAACTTGCACTTGGACTTGTACGACACCAAAGTTTCACAGTCTTGTGCAATCCTCGTTCTGAAAACTTCACAGTGGCATTTAGTTTTTTACACAACAATTTTGAAGCTTCTCACCAGGAAAGTCAATTGTTTACTATCATTAATAGAGTTAAAGAAAACGGTGAGTGCCGAAAATGATGTCAGCTCTTATCATAACAGATGAAAAGTAGAACGCAGGATGGTTCTAAACAGTACGGCGACGAATGGAAACGCTCTTGCAAGTTAATTGAAATACTTAAAGCTAAAAACTGTTGTTCTTATCGTTTCACACTTTTACAAGGTCGCACAACGCAACCCATGTGACCCTCTGGCTACGCCACTTCTTCCATCCGTCACTCCTTGTAATGTCATGTTGCACGCTCCCAAAAACCCATGAACTCCCGATGATTCCCCACCACACACCGCGAGTGATCATCGGCCCTGGTTCACGCTTCTCGCGGGTTCCCAGAAACCTCCCAGTCCTGGAGAGTTCCCGTGGCACATTTGTAGGAGCCGTCAGGCCTGAAGGGCGCGAGTTACCTCGGCTAGCTTAGGACTCGCAACATTTTGGAACTGTGATTCTAGAAAAAGTGGACTTATATTCCGATTGGGAATGGGATTCAAATTTTTTCACCATAATCTCCAATTAATGCAGTGCAATACAAAGGGGACGGACAGCTCAGTTCGGTGCGGAACTGGCATATACGGCCGCACTAGGCTACCTTATGGAAATTTGAAGCCAAGTAAATTCGATGCCTCTTGCCAATGATTTTGGACCCGACCCTTGCTTCAAACATAATAACATAATTGCACACAAGGGATATTGATTACGACTCAACATTACGTCAAACAAATATCATTATATTTTCGGCATACATCTTTCTATAGGTGACCGCCGAATAGTGGGTTGCGTCACTTGCACAGTAGATTGGAAGCGTGAGACACCAAAGGCTGAGAGTTGTTGTGCTGAAAGTAAGCTACCAACAATGTGTTACGAGCATCTTTGAGTGACGCATTGGTCGTATCGAGGTATCTTTGAGTGAAAGAAAACCGCGAAGTTTCTTTATATAGCCTACAATAAAATAGCCTCAATATTGCTTGATAAAGACGTTTGACCAGCACCGCCTTGCATTTTCAGGGCCAGCTATTTTCGGCATGAGAAGTCTCTGCTCATAATGCCAGAAAACCTGGACCTTTGTGAATTTCTTGCTTGTGCTACGCGACTCGCATTTCATTGATACTACATTTGCAAAGTTTGCTGAAACGCTCTTTTCCGTTATAAAAGTACATTCACCCTGCGTCCCCACACCTTTTTTTAGTGTCCATATTATGTCTGTCAGACTACTTGATTAATTAGATAATTATAATAAATAGTACTTAATTAAAAGGCTAAAAGAGAGCAGCTATTTGCATTCTGGGTAATAGACTTCGTGTAGACTTCATGTAATAGGCTTCATGTTCCAAATAAACTTTCTTCTCTAAGATTTCATTCTACATAGCCGTGACAAGTCACATTTTCAAAAAGCTTGCAGTTCAGGAGGGTTAGCAAACAGAAAATACGACATGCGAATAATAACGGAGACACCAAAAAAGCTTGCATTGTCAATATCCGCAAAGGTGCGCCACCTGGTGCCAGACTTAGTATGAGCTCACGCCGCACATTTCCTGAAACCCTTCAGCATTAATGAACCTAAGCTGGACATTCCGGACGTCCTGTCACCCTTGCTGAGCCCGTGTCGGGCGAGCGAGCTGTCCCGCTGCTCAGTAATTGGCAAAAGCCGAAATCCTACATGGGCAAAACCCGCGGTTTGATGACGTTTCGGACCGAAGTGCGGGCCGTTTTGTAGGTTAATACTTTGTGTCAGCATATCGTGCGGTGTGAAACATGGCGGCACTGGAAGCGGTGACCAGTCAAGGGGCATGGACCTCCTCTGCTGAGGTCGTTAGCGGACTTCCGGGGAAAAGCTGTTGCCTCAGCAAATATTGCCCGCAGGTCACAGACATATTAACCTCGTCTACAAAGGAAGTGATTACAGACGTCAGAATGCTGTGTGTGGGTATTGTTATACTGATAATCGCCCGGTCTCTCCAGATCAGGATATATTTCAGATCGTAAATTCGTCCAAATTAACGATAACGATATTCTGTTGAATATCGTTATCAATCCGACAGAACGCTTACGCTTAAAAGAATTTACGTACACATGCCAGAGGAGGTTTTCTTACCACTTGCAAGTTTTGTCCAACCACCACGCGTTGTAGAGCGTGGGCGTGGGCATGGATAGGCTTATTCATTGTCTTGCTTAGTCGCCACAAGCCTCTCACCCTCATCGGCGGATGAGAGGCCGGCGCAACATTCGCTCGGTTTGTCTCTGAGACCGTTCTCTCAGGCGCATCGTGATGAGAGTTGGATAGCTTAATTGTGAACCCATTTGCAGCTAGCATAACAGTTTGGTACCCTTTCTCATTCTTCGCGTTGGGTCAGTCACCTTATTAGCCGCAGGACCTCGTTCTTGAAGCTTTGCCCGGCAAAAACTCACCGTGGCCCCGAGCTCAAAGTCACATGAGGTAAAATTGAATTCGAGCTAAAAATTGATTATACCCAAGTCGTTGTCAACATAAATTGCACATAATCCCAACGTCAGCGTTGTAGACTATGATGTTAAGGTAAAATCGAATTCGAGAAAAAGTGAATTGAACCCACATCGTCGCCAACATGCATTTCACATAAGCCCAGCGTCAGCGCCATAGACAATGCTCTTGAGTGCATGTCGTCCAAGGTAAAGTCATCAGAGATCATGTGGGTGAGCCCGGGCTACACAACGTTGCACCTTAGAAGTGAATAGTGGTATGCCTTAACTTGTGTCAGATTTACTCGTAAAACATACGCGGAGCCATACAAAGGCTCTAAAACGTGTTCTGGCCTTGTCTGACCCGACCAAGGAACTCATCATCGATAGATGCCTAAAATATCCGGTTAGGAGTTGTAAGTCATGTAAGGGGAATACCGTTCCATCCTCAAATTCTCTTTAAACACGTCGGTTGTGCAATAGGAAAGGGTGGTGGTACCCCTCCCCATTGTCCCCACCTCACCCCGCCCCATCAGAGGCGACCCGCGCCCCACACCCAGCACTCCGCACCCCGCACCCCGCCGAGTGCTAGGAACACTTAAAAGTTGACATTGTTACATGTAATGAGTAGATTTGTTTGTTGTTTTATCATCAGCACCATTAGTTTTGTGTCAAAATGTATATTTCGTATTGTTTTAGCGCAAGCGCCTTATTATTTTTTGTGCGTTTTAGTCAGCCGGGCCTCAGAACCAAAACAAAACAATAAAAGGAATGCCACATCATAGGACTTTATAACAGTGATAGGAAATCGGGACCTGTTTAAAAAGGTTTCTGATGGGTTCAGTCCATCATCATCTTTGGTCTACGCTATGCATAGCTTTAGCATGTGCGCATGTAGAAAACTAAGGAACGTTGCACAGTACGTAAGGGTTCACTCCGTCAAGTAGTGCGTTGATTAGTCCAATCTGTTTGCATGCATTATTAGTGACTTTTAGGTACAGATCCTAGTATAAAACAGGACCAGTTACACCCGCAATGTTGTTAGCTTCACAGGTAAGAATGCTCTCTTTGGCCGGCCTTATTTCACAGCAACAGTTTGGAGACCAGAGATCCATGCGTCTACAATCTCCACATTGCAAGTCCCGAACATTGCATGCATACAACACCCACTGTTACGATGATTGACTACTTGACGCGCACCATGTATTACATGGCATCATCCAAGCCGTGGCCATATTGTTGCGGGTGGCACGTGTGCCTTCGTGTAACCTGTTTTAGTCCGTCGGCCAGTGTACCAGCCCGCGGCGCGTGTCGTCCGGCGAGCCGATGACCCAAGGTCAGCCCTGCAGCCATCCTGCAGCCCAGCTGGTGGCATTGACCCCGTCGATGGTGTCACGTTGCTGTACGTTGCCAGGAAAGCCGCGGCTCAAAACAGCGGACCGAGCGGTGATTCCCGGCAGGCACCAGCTCGGCGCCGTAAAAATCGATGTCGGCAGGGCGCTTTTGTGAGCGTTGGGTACGCACAACTAGCCTTTTGCTGGCAGCGAAACACACGTGAAAGCCTCCAGGCCAGTTACCCGGCAGCATGTCATACGGCGCAGTGAAGCGTGCACTCAAGTTAAGCACATACGCTGTACGTACATGGTCACCCCTTTATTATGCTCTCGACTATTCATTTTGCTGCCATTATTTTCCGGTGGAAAGATGACTCGTGGTGCAAGGATATAAGTGTCTGGACTGACACCTTTTTTGACCAGACCACGACTCGCGATGCACGGATATAAGTGTCGGGACTGGTGTCTTTTTTTAAACAGACCTACGCGGAAAGGTGCAGTTGGTGTCTGACCAGCTATGGTCGGCATGGCAAGAGCTGCTACCACCTGACGAGAGACTCCGCAGTCCAGTCTGGATGGAAAGGTCACAGACAGAATGCCGCTTGCACTGGAAGCGCCACCATTGAGTGACCGATCGGGGGTACGTGCCTGATGATTGGGCAGACAGGGGGAACGGAAACACGGGCGCAGAAACCAGAGAGAGACAGACAGAGCAGACAGAGAGATAGAGGAGAGAGAGAGAGAGAGAGAGAGAGGAGAGAGAGAAGAGAGAGAGAGCTCGAAGCGATAGCGTAAGCTAATCTATATATCTATCTATATATATATATATATATATATATATATATCTCTCTCTCTCTCTCTCTCTCTCTCTCTCTCTCTCTCTCTCTCTCTCTCTCTCAGAACCAAAACGTAGCCTGGTATCCCACAATGCGCTTGCGGACTCCGAGATGTCGCATCAATGCAGCGCAGGCTCTGGCAGCGCCACATGTCGAGGAATAGCGAGGCCAGGGTATTCTAAGCCATGCCTTTAGGTTAAGGCTGCATTTTGAAGACAAATTTTCTTGTCGCCGTTGCTGAGGCATGCTTTACCGGCGGGCTCTGGCGTGTTTTCAAGCTGATTTCGACTTCCAGCTGCCCTGGATCGGGTCCTTGAAGGTGCAGAAGAAGAGGCGTCCATGTAGAATCTTTGAGCTTATTGTGCCATAGCCTAGGATGGGCCAAAACTATCGGACAACGCATATGGTGGCTGATGTGTTTGTAACGTTATTTTTTAACGCAAGATTGCATAGCAGATACCGCCCGTAGTCCCAATTACTAACGATTGAACGCGTTTTCGAAATAGAGAGCACCGTCACAAAGACAGCTTAATGGCCGTTGGAAAGACACAAAATGTATAGATTTTAGCAAATGAAGTGGGGTCTTCCGTGACCACTTTCCTTACATTCCTAGGTTTACATCCAGTTGTCTAATTTCTGTTCCCCCAACAAATAGAGCGAGCGGAAAAATGCCAGGATTGTTTTAATTTAAGCATGCGATTGTGAACAGGATTATCTTAACTTACTTTTGACACTCACGGCAGGCACGCGTTCCCACGTATGTTGTATAACTGATACAGAGCCGCTATGTTTTGTGTGTAATGTGCTGTTATAGCAGATGACAAATTTCCCCACTTTCCAAAAAGGAACATTTTCACTTTCCACTTTCTCATATAACCTCCGATGCCCTTATTCACTTGAAAGAGCTGTTCTAAATTTGTGCGTTAAATCTAGAACAAGCATTATTGACGTCATTGCTCGAGAGAATCGAACACCAGCTCGCATGGTCACGACCAAAAGAGACGCTTCATACTTTTCTTAGCCCAACCGCAGCAAATGACAGTTTCTGGTCTGACGATGCGTTATCACACACACACCACAAACACACACACACACACACACACACACACACCACACACACACACACACACACATACACACACACACACACACACATATATATATATAATATATTATATATATATAGATATATATATATATATATATATATATATATATATATATATATATATAGATGTACATGTAGATACGCTTTTAATGATTCATTTGCATTATTAAGTGCAAGCGAGAAGGCCAACTCGTATTTCGTTTAGAAATTAGGTTATGTTGTTCGATACCCGTCACGTCCGCCTAGGGTCCGCCTATGCTGATCCTTCGGCCTTGACTGCAGCCGTAAGCCAGCAATCACCACCATCTGCATTGCTCTTTTATTTTCAGCTGATCGTTAATCAAGGTCTTGGTGGTAATTGTTACGTGCCTGACCGGCATTTGTTGTGACCCAGACACGCCTTAAACATTCCCCCATTGGCTGCCTGACCCTAATCCAACAAGAACCTGGTCGTTGATTATCTAGGTATCAGCCGGCGCCACATTAAGCGCATTCGCCTCGGAAGTCTGGCCGGCTTTATGTCCGGCGCCGTGTCCATTTAATTGGGCATTAGCAGGGTGGCGGTCTGAGTCGTCGACTGAGTGCTACAAAATGACGCCCCGAAACGGTCCCTCCGGGGTGGAGTCGCCACTGCTAGCCAAGGTCAGTGGGGGCGGCGACAATTGGCGCGGGCGGGGTCGACGGCGACCCACCGGTGCCTGGCGCCGCGGCACCCGCGGGTTGGCCCAGGGGCCCGCAGGCAGCCTCAGCTCGCGACCGGTCAGGGTCGAGGGGGGGGGGGGGGGGGGGGAAGTCATCACCGCTTCGGTCGTCAATATTAGGACCCCGCGTGCACGCACGTGCCCGTGCACTGAAGATAAGTGGGTCGGTAGTGGTACGGAGCGGAAGTGCGTGGCGCACCGCAGACACGAGAGGCGACTTCCGCCTCGTGCCCGCGGCGGATCGCCGTCTCGGCTGTCTCGCTGTCCCATCGTTCTCGGCTGTCTGGCGATACAAATGGTGATACTGGCCTGTGCGGTTATTTTGGCATATAAAGCAATCGCAGCGTGGCGTCCATTTAGAGATGATTGAAAAAGTTAGTAGGCACTTCCGAATGATGGCCGGAAAGCGAACACAGGACTAAAAACGATTTACGACGACAGTGATTGCAGTTGTTTGTCGGGAAATCAAGTGAGAGAGAAGCTTTACGATTTCAATGCTCTTCACGCCACAGGGGTTTACACGCCCATACTAATTCAACCCAGAGGAACAAAGAGCGTTCATAAACTCAAACCTATTCGTGCCAAAAGTTTCACGCCCTAAATTGCGGTGATCGTAAATAGCACGGCATGTGTTAGGCAGAAATATAAGCATGGAGTCACAGTGCTCGTACCCCGGATGCTCAAGGACAAGGATGCAGGGTAGCCCTAGAGCCGATTTCCCAAACTATTCACAGTCTATCGTAGCTTGTGTGGCAGAATAAGTTCAGATCAAAACTTGCGGCATGCTCAGGCAGCCAGCGTGGATAAGCGGCCCAAAAAGCCTCAGAAGGTATGGAGAGATTAATTAGAAAAATAGCGAGCATTTTTGGCTTTGCGAGTGCAAGGCGTTAAAATGATGTAACAGGCAACAAGTATGATCAAATATGCATCAAGTCGTACCGAGTCACAAAACGTCGCTTGCCTGGCAAAATCAGACCTCAACACAAAATATTAACGGTTTCTCAAAAGAACGGTAAGTTGTCCGCGCATAACCTTGAACTGCCCACTTTTTGGGTGGCATAGGTAGCCGGCAAAGATGACATACTTTCACGTGCAAAGCCACCAAGGTGAGAACATAATTATAGAAAATCATGCCATATTACATTGGGTATGGCTGACCAGTCATGTGCTTTGCTGACCTCCAGTCAGTGCTCTGAAACATGAGGCCGTTTGTACAAGGCTTCGCACGCAGCCGGCTCCTTTAGAATATGCTTAATTTCAGTATAACGCGCAGGATGTCTGGACTGAGACCAACGTGGGGTGGAAGGCCGATGACGCATTAAATAGCAGTGCGCAGTGTTTGACTGATTCACATGCCTTTTTCAGATGGGGGACCTGCACGTGTACCTGGTGCCACGGGAGAGAAATGGTCGGCGCCGCGGCGGCTGGCCGAGCGCACCTCCCGCAACGACACCATCTCACTGGGCTTCGTCAGGTGAGACCACAGGCGACACCAGGCCACTGTGGCTCTGGAGGGAGCTCGCAAACGACATCCGCATGGCTGGGCTTCGTCAAGTGGAAGCCACAGGCGACACTTGGCCACAGACACCATATGGCTGGGCTTCGTTAGGTGGCGTCCCGGGCGACAACATCTCGGTAGACTTTGTCAGGCAAGTCCCAAGTGACGCGAAATCACTGGTTGTTGCAAGATGATATTAAAGCGGGCGCCGTATCCCTGGGCTTCCTCAGACGAGGGTCGACAACAGAAATTGTCTTCCTACGCTGTGGCTGCGATAGCCGTACGTTGTGTTGGCTCACAAAATGTGATCGTGCATATTGATATCACCCTCACTACCGTTGTTCCGTTCTGTTTAGCCAGGACGTGTGTCGCGCAGAGAGCTTACGGCGAAGATGCCTGAGTTTTTCGCCGGGCCTGCGGTATTAAACTGCAACGTCTACCATCCCAGACCTGCCCAGCCTGACACGCGCGAAAAAACGACAAAGAGTGCCTACCGTTGGCGTGGTGCCGAGTCTATGTCATTAAAGTCCTCACTCGGACGACTGTGTCACATGCAGACAGTTCAAGGTGATGTCAATCACCTTCAAGTTATCGCCAGCGTAACGACTGCCAACTGAGTGTGAGGCGGCACCATTCATGGGAGCCAGACCAGAGACGCCTCGTCGTAACGGTGCCGCCATCAGCGCCAGGTCGATACAGGCCCGGCCTCTGGAGGACCGCTGGGTGAGGCGGCCTCTTTGTGGGTCGGCACGAACGCCCAAGCAGGCACGCACGAGATATGGGCACGCTTGACCGAAAAACCTCTCGTCGAACGCTATTTACCGGGTTCGCGTGCGGCAGCGGACAGCGCTGTTTTGCATGTGATACATCGGGAATACCAGATGTGGAGCGTACTGTATGTGCTGCTGCTGATATATTGCTGGCACGGACACATGCATTGAATTTGTATTTTATTTCGCTTTGCTTGAGACCTATCCACGAGATGGCTCTTCAGGTACTCGGCTTGTTACAGCGTTCTCTAGGTTCGGTTCGTTGCAAGACTCACTACTCGTTACAACACATTACAAAAACGCTATAAAAGACGATACTTAGAAATGTACTATAAAATAAGATATTACAAAATTTCTGCACAATACAATACTGTGAAATACGATACGATGAAATACGATACGACGAAATACGATACAACAAAATTTGATACGATGAAATACGATACGACAAAATACGATGCTACAAAATAGTACGAAGTCAAACGATGAATCCAAGAGATGTTCTAAGTTGACAACAAAATGTACCAAACCCAGCGTGCACATACAAAGATGAATGAAAATAAATTGCAAGTGCATGAGATCCACATTGACATGGAAGTACCACACACATACGTACACTTGGCGCACAATCACACAAGTAACCAGCACAGGCTTAAAACTAAGACGAATGACCCAACATTTACGTTTTGAATCGTGAGTTTCTAACCCCTCAGGGACATAGGCAACGTGGTGATGGGAGGCATGCGTTTCGAAATTGCCGCGGCGGGATAAGGAAAGTCTCGCTCGATGGGGTCCAATCGGTTCCTGAACAGGTGGAGGGACATTGACGTGGAGGAGTGTGCCTCCCTTAGTGAAACAGGGGAACGTGGCCTCAAAAGAGAGTGGACAGCCGGAGACGATTTTTTGGATCTTAGCGCTTTGAATGCTTCCAGTTCTAGCACGTCCCTCTCTTTTACCGGGTCATCAACCTGGGGCTAGCTTAGAGATTCCAAAATCGGTGCTATATACTGGTTGCGTTTTATGCCAGAGACAATCCTGGCGGAAAATTTGTAACTTTTTGAATGTTTTTCAAACTATTTGCCATGGTTGCAGACAATCAAGGGCAAAGGGCAGTAGGGACAGGAAAGGTCACAATCGTATCACACGAAACTTTGGGAGCAGCTGAGAGGGCGATTGAGAATACATTGCGCGGTGGAGCGGGCCTCACAGTTCGACTATGGAAATCGTTCCGTGTACAGATTATTGCATTCGTATACTGCAAAAAATCACGTGGGAGACTTGACAAAAAGATGAAAGTCAGGGCATGAAGGCATCATGTTTTGGGTTGCTTCATATAAGCAAGGAAGGCCCCGCACGCCTGTTGAGCTTGAATTATCTGTGCTGACAATAGCCGGCACTCAAGACGCCAGAAGAGAAAAGCTAAACGGATTATTAAGCAAACATTGGCTGCGTTGTCAAAACTGAACGTTTCAAGCTGAGTTCATGCCCACTAGCGGATACAAACGCACGGACCAGCGGAATTAAGACCCGTGACGATGAGCATGGCTTGAAACGTCGGGTTTTCACAACTTAAACAACGTTTGCTTGATAACGTTATTTAAGCGATGCCTCCTGATGTATTGAAGGTTTGTTGTCAACATGACAATTTCAAAAAGTGTTTCGGGGTGATCTTTTTGGCCGCTGCTGTTACGTGCTGGCGTTTTGTTGCTACATGAAACAAATGACCGGTATCCATCCACGTCATATACCACCACGGATTGAAGCAAACAAGTCCCGCCGCGCCCGGACCTCGGCGGCGTGGAGCTCGTCGAAAACACACCCTGCGGCACGACAGCGTTGTTTGAAATGGCGAGGCGAACGTGGCCGTACAATTCGCAATTACCTTCCTTGCGGTGTGCCTGTCGAACCTAAAATATTTGTAAATTCAGGGGTGCCGTCAGGTGAACGCGAGCGCGCCGTCAGGTGAACGCGAGTAGTATGGGGACTCCCCACATGGAGCCTATGAAGACATCATGGAGCCTCACATGGGCCTATGAAGACTATCCGGACTGTCGGTCCAGAGCCTATACACGTTTCTGGTAAGGAAAGTACTGTACCATTCCTTTCAAATAAACCTGAATGTGATATGAATGAAGGCTGGTTATGTGTGCCTCCTGGATGGGTGCTGGATGTGTTGTAGGCTTGGCCCCGCGGTTGTCAAAGTACGTGGTCGGTGCTCGGAAGGTCTCGCGCCCTAGATCAAGGAGAGGTCCAGTTACAAGGACACATCTAATGAGGTCCACCCTTGGAGGGGCCATGCCGCAAAAACTACGAAAAGGCAATAATCTTCCCCTTCAAAACCTTACGTTTAGTTTTATTGGTGTAAGCGTTGTGCCTTCAAGAATGAACGATCTGATTGCATTCCCGCTCGACTCACCTTCGACTGACCGACACACTTTTCGGGAGAACCTGGTGTATGATGTCGCATGTTGGTCAGCCCGAGTCAAAATACCAATGTTCAAAGACGCTGTGACTGTTGTCATCATGATGCAATTTTTCTCGACCGTGGAAAGACAGCGGAAGGGCACCGTGGAGTGAGATGACCACACGCCGCGTAAGAAACGTATGAAAACGAGCACCCATACAAAAGAGATTGAGCGGGCCGGCAATATTGTGGGTGTATTTTTGTAAGGATGAACAGAAGGATGCACATCGGCACATGAACAATGTTCGGAGGTGAAGGGGTCGTTTATTTCATAAAATGATTCGTAGATGCAGCATAAAAACATGTATAACAGAGAATACGATAGGGTTCAGCCGAAGAACTGACTCCTTTAACCTCATCAAGCCCGCCTCCGAGACGATCAAAGGGAGTGACACCGGTGGTAATTGCAAGTCTTTCTGACCCAGGAAAAATAGAATCAACTTTAATTGTGTATGGTGTCGTCTTTTTCAGCTTTGATGCTAATAATGTTTACGTATTGCATAGCGACGTGCTGGAATAGGACAGTATTTAACATTTGTAAGCCACAAAAGAGTGTTGCAGCATCCACAGCTTCCAAAAAATCATCGCTTTTGACCATAGGAAGGTTTGGATCTTCCTAAAGCGGTTCGTGACTATCGGAGGATTCCTTGGGCGCTCATTTCATCGCTATTCATGGCTGCAATATTCTGCAACACTTTGGAACAACTTTAACATTGATTTCTGGAGGTTTTGTAATGCTACGAGATCGGTGATAACGCTCGTTTTCTCTCTTGATGCTTCCCTTGGCATTCAATGACAGTAATCCTTACTGTTCAGTCCATGTTGAAGACTTTCAAAAGAACATTCAGTCCTTCAGTTATCAGCTGCACCCCGTGCTCCTTTCAGAACGATGTACATTGGCGAACTGGCAAGTTCCTTGTGGGACACATAGGTAACTTATCTGCTCAGTGTGGAAGCCGAGGTTGGAATTGGGGTCATCACGGCATTGGGAGGAGTCCGTGGAGTAGTTCTTCCTTTGCTGTAACGGTCTGACACGAGCTGGACTACGACACGTCCTGAGAACACCTCGCCTACCACCCCGCGACTCTCCGTTTTAGGCTTCAAGCACCAGCCGATTAAGGCTTAATTTGAAATCTCATCCATTCCAACCGTAATGAGTTCTGCTATCCAATTTTCTGCCGACTTGGGGTATTTTAGGAACCTTTACACCGCGCCTGCGCAGTTCGCTTCTTCTTGACACATCCGGCTATGTCCCACGAGGAGCTCCGATGCCATTCAAATAAAGGGGCAGTCGAGTACAGCTAATGCGTCGATGCCCTGTCATTTGCGGTGAGATCTCATCCTTAGGTATCGCCTAAACAACGTCCTTGCGTCCAATGTCCTTATGAAGGGCTGCTTCCTCAATGTGTGCTATTCTGAGGCTTATGGCTGAGATCTTATGCCGGCTTTGTCGAGCACGGCATCTTCCGTAAACATCTTTACGAGCGTTTTGTGACGACTTTGCCGAGTCGCCCCTACCATAACACTTTATTGGCACCGTTCCTGCTCCTACGAAAGCTGTTTCATCTGGCTGCCTGTCTCCCGAAATGTGATCGTCCCTTTTCCGTGGTTCATTATGCTCCGATAGTCCACTTTTTTGGCCTCCTCTAGCCACATGGTTACTGGTGTCTTCAGGCATGTGCGCGGAAACGCTGTGTGCATGAGGGTCTTTGGCCTCACCCGCCCCCTGGACTGCTATTAAC